ACTCCAGAATGGGTAAGTGTTAGATTCCAACTAAAAAAAAATTACAAGCTGGGATCGGTGGCTCAGCTTATAATGCCACACCTTGGGAGGCTTAGGTGAGTGGATTGCCTGATCCCATGGGATTGAGACCTGCCTAGGCAACTTGGTGAGAGCTCTTCTCTACAATAAATCAAAAAATTAGCCAGGCATGGTAGTGTGAACCTATAATTCCAGCTACTTGGAAGGCTGAGGTGGAAGGATCGCTCGCTGGAGCCCAGGTCGAGGCCACTGCACCTCAGTCTGGGTGATCCTTCTGCCTCAGCCTTCCAAATAGCTGGAACTACAGGCACATGCTACCACACCGGGCTAACTTTTTGATTTATTGTAGAGGTGAGGTCTCGCCAAGTTGCCCAGGTGGGTCTCGAACCTGTGAGCTCAGGCAATCCACTTGCCTCAGCCTCCCAAAGGCACGGGATTACTAGCTGCACCACTGAGACCAGCTAGGGGACAGGTTATTAAGGTTGTGTGGTGGTCCATCCCACCTCCTCATGGAGGGCAGGTAGACACAGGTCCTGACATCAGGTCTCACCATGGCCTCCCAAAGTGCTGGGATCATGGCCTTGAATCCCTGAGTTCAGGGCATCCTCTTGCCATGGCCTCCTGAAGGGCTGGGATGACAGGTGTGAGTGAATGAAATAAGCTGGGAAGGAGTTGGAAAGTCATAATCCATAGCGATCTCTGAGAAACAGACTCTGTCTCTGCCCAGCGATTAGAGGGAAAAGCGAAATGCTAGAGCAATACGACAGATCCATGCCATGTTAACATGGTTGCTCGTGGAATAGCTGGGCTCCGTGTTACGTCCTTTTGAAACCAAGGAGGGGTCTTTAGGGTGTCTTTCTTTTTTGAGTTGGAGTCTCATTCTGTCACCCAGACTGGGAGTGGCCACTGCAGCCTCGACCTGCTGGGCTCCAGCCATCCTTCCCCCTCAGCCTTCCAAGTAGCTGGAACTACAGAGGTGCGCTACCACACCTGGCTAATTTTTTGATTTATTGTAGAGATGAGGTCTCGTCAAGTTGCCCACGTGGGTCTCAAACCCGCAGGCTCAGGCAATCCACTCACCTCAGCCCCGCAAAGTGCAGAATTACAGGCTGAGCCACCGAGCCTGGCTGGTCTTTAGGATGTCAGTCACACGTCTTCTCGGTGTTAAGGGCACTCCCCAATGAAATCACGGGTCTTGGCTCCAGCACCTTTTCTTGATATCTTGGATGTCCTGAGATGAACAGAACGGGGTGTGGATGTGGTTATATAAACTGCCCATGACCTTGACAACAAGCTTGCACTTGATGACATACCGAGGGAATTTACACCTGGATAATCCAAATAAGGTGACGGTGTGGTGATCGCCCACCAGCACATGCACGTGGCTAGCTCCCCTCTCCGCCCCGTTTTTGTTTTTTTGGTTTTTTTTGAGTTGGCGTCTCACTCTGTTGCCCAGGCTGGAGGGCAGTGGCACACTTCGGGCCACCCCAGCCTCAACCTGCTGGGCTCCAGCGATCCTTCAGCTCAGACTTCCAAGTAGCCAGAATTATGCACGCTACCACAGCCGGCTAATTTTTTTTCAGTTTTTATTGTAGAGGTGAGGTCTCGCCATGTTGTCCAGGCTGGTCTCGAACCCGCAGACTCAGGTCATCCTCTTACCTCAGCCTCCCAAAGTGCTGGGAAGACAGGCTTGACACACTGAGCCTTTCCAAGCATGGTACGTTGGCTCATGCCTGTCATCCCAGCACTTTGGGTGGTTGAGATGAGAGGATGGCCTGAGCCCGTGGGTTCGAGACCAGTCCAGGCAAGTTGTTGAGACCTCGTCTACTGTAATAAACAAAATTTACCCACACGTGGTGGCATGTGCCTGTCATTCCAGCTACTTGGGAGGCTGAGGTGGAAGGATGGTCTGATTCCAGCAGGTCCAGGTCTAGGTGGTGGTGTCCCTGCACTCTCGTGTCCCTGCACTCTTGCCTGGGTGACCGAGTGAGACTCCGACCTGGAAGAAACTACGCTTGAGCCCAGGAGTTCAAGACCAGCCTGGGTAACATCGTGAAACCTCATCACAACAACCATGATGAGAAATTAGAAAATAAATAAAAATAAATAACACTTATGAAAATTGGGATTTGCAACCCATCCCCAACGTGTGTGTGTATATATAGAAAAAGCAGATAAATAATAATAATCACAATAAGTAACATAAGCAAATGAGCCCATAAGTAAGAAAACATAAAAGTAATAATGAATGAATAAATAACAACAATCAATAAAAACAGTATGGAATAGAGAAGCAGATAATAACAACCCCAAGTAATATAAATAAGTAACCAAATAAATAAATGATATTAAATAAATAAAAAAGGTAAAAGAAAGTATAAATAACAATAAATGAATAAATAACCCGTGTGAAAATTGGAATCTGCAACCAATCCTCAACGAGTGCGTGTTTGTATAGAATAAATAGATAAATAATAATAAGTAATATAAGAAAATTAACCAATAAATAATAAAAAATAAAAATAATAATGAATGAACAAATAACAACAATACATTTAAAAAATGCACGGAATAGAGAAGCAGATAATAACAACAAGTAATATAAATAAGTAATCAAATAAATAAATGATATTAGATAAATAGTAAAAGGTAAAAAAAACCGAATGAATAAGTAACAATAAATGAATAAATAAATAAGCCTTGTGAAACTTGTGATAGGTCACAACTCATCCACAAGGGTCCCTGCACAATGAATACTGGTATTCCTAACACTGAATTGCACCCCACAATTTTAAAATAAAAAAATTAAAAAGCTAAAACAAAAATTTTGGATTGGCAACCCATTCCTTGATATATGTATATATGGAATAAATTGATCAATAATCATCATAAATAGCAATAAGTAGTATAAAGAAATAGATGAATAATATGCCATAAAGGTAGAAGGAGATGAAATAAATGAATCACAATAAGTAAAAAACATTTTAAAAAGCGAATGAATGAATGAATGAATGAAGGTAAAAGGAGATGAAATAAATGAATGAATCAAAATAAATAAAAAACATTTAAAAAAGCAAATGAATGAATGAATAAATGAAGGTAAAAGGAGATGAAATGAATGAATCACAATAAATAAAAGACATTTTTAAAAGTGAATGAATGAACAAAAGAATGAAGGTAAAAGGAGATGAAATAAATGAATCATAAATAAAAAACATTTTAAAAGGCGAATGAATGAATGAAGGTAAAAGGAGGTGAAATAAATGAATCACAATAAATAAAAAATATCTTAAAAAGTGAATGAATGAATGAAGGTAAAAGGAGATGAAATGAATGAATGAATTATAATAAAAACATCTTAAAAAGCGAATGAATGAATGAATGAAGGTAAAATGAGACGAAACGAATGTATCATAAATAAAAAACATCTTCAAAAGCGAATGAATGAATGAATGAAGGTAAAAGGAGATGAAATAAGTGAATGAATCACAATAAATAAACATTTAAAAAAATGAAAGAATGAATGAACGAATGAAAGCCCTCCCTCCCAGTCCATCAGGAACTGTTGCTGCCGTTTATCGTTGGGGGAGGGGG